GTATAGGACCCACAACCACTTACAGGATGGGTATAGGATCCACTACCACCAACAGGATGGGTATAGGATCCCCTACCACTCACAGGATGGGGTATAGGACCCACAACCACCCACAGGATGGGTATAGGATCCCCTACCACTCACAGGATGGGGTATTGGACCCACAACCACCCACAGGATGGGTATAGGATCCACTACCACCCACAGGATGGGGTATAGGACCCACAACCACCCACAGGATGGGTATAGGATCCACTACCACCCACAGGATGGGGTATAGGACCCACAACCACCCACAGGATGGGGTATAGGACCCACAACCACCCACAGGATGGGTATAGGATCCCCTACCACTCACAGGATGGGGTATAGGACCCACAACCACCCACAGGATGGGTATAGGATCCACTACCACCCACAGGATGGGGTATAGGACCCACAACCACCCACAGGATGGGTATAGGATCCACTACCACCCACAGGATGGGGTATAGGACCCACAACCACCCACAGGATGGGGTATAGGACCCACAACCACCCACAGGATGGGTATAGGATCCCCTACCACTCACAGGATGGGGTATAGGACCCACAACCACCTACAGGATGGGTATAGGATCCACTACCACCCACAGGATGGGGTATAGGACCCACAACCACCCACAGGATGGGTATAGGATCCCCTACCACACACAGAATGGGGTACAAAACACATAATAGATGAAATAAACATCACAAAAAAGTATATTAATAGCATCATAACAGGAAGCTGCTGCTGTGGTGCCATAATAGTCTGGTCGACCATCCCCAGGGAACCATTGTGGTGGTACTTCTTAAGATTAAGAAGGCTGGAGGCGTCTTTACTCACGGGGGCATCTTCTTAATGCTGGTCCTTCGACAGTAATTCATATTTTACTGCTCTTAAAGTCATGTTTTTTTCAGGGAGAGGGGGGAGGGGTGTTAGATTACGGTGTATTGATGGAACGGAAGGTGTATTGAAGCAACGGAAGGTGTATTGAAGCAACGGAAGGTGTATTGAAGCAACGGAAGGTGTATTGAAGTGTATTGAAGCAACGGAAGGTGTATTGATGGAACGGAAGGTGTATTGAAGCAACGGAAGGTGTATTGAAGCAACGGAAGGTGTATTGAAGCAACGGAAGGTGTATTGATGGAACGGAAGGTGTATTGAAGAAACGGAAGGTGTATTGAAGCAACGGAAGGTGTATTGAAGCAACGGAAGGTGTATTGAAGCAACGGAAGGTGTATTGATGCAACGGAAGGTGTATTTGAGCAACGGAAGGTGTATTGAAGCAACGGAAGGTGTATTGAAGCAACGGAAGATGTATTGAAGCAACGGAAGGTGTATTGAAGCAACGGAAGGTGTATTGAAGCAACGGAAGGTGTATTGAAGCAACGGAAGGTGTATTGAAGCAACGGAAGGTGTATTGAAGCAACGGAAGGTATATTGAAGCAACAGAAGGTATATTGAAGCAACGGAAGGTGTATTGAAGCAACGGAAGATGTATTGAAGCAACGGAAGGTGTATTGAAGCAACGGAAGGTGTATTGAAGCAACGGAAGGTGTATTGAAGCAACGGAAGGTGTATTGAAGCAACGGAAGGTGTATTGATGCAACGGAAGGTGTATTGAAGCAACGGAAGGTGTATTGATGGAACGGAAGGTGTATTTGAGCAACGGAAGGTGTATTGAAGCAACGGAAGGTGTATTGAAGCAACGGAAGGTGTATTTGAGCAACGGAAGGTGTATTGAAGCAACGGAAGGTGTATTGATGCAACGGAAGGTGTATTTGAGCAACGGAAGGTGTATTGAAGCAACGGAAGGTGTATTGAAGCAACGGAAGATGTATTGAAGCAACGGAAGATGTATTGAAGCAACGGAAGGTGTATTGATGCAACGGAAGGTGTATTGATGCAACGGAAAGTGTACTGAAGCAACGGAAGGTATATTGAAGCAACGGAAGGTGTATTGAAGCAACGGAAGGTGTATTGAAGCAACGGAAGGTGTATTGAAGCAACGGAAGGTATATTGAAGCAACGGAAGGTGTATTGAAGCAACGGAAGGTGTATTGAAGCAACGGAAGGTGTATTGAAGCAACGGAAGGTGTATTGAAGCAACGGAAGGTGTATTGAAGCAACGGAAGGTGTATTGAAGCAACGGAAGGTATATTGAAGCAACGGAAGGTATATTACTACCAACGCAGACAACCGGCCTTACCAACAATAAGTGTTGCATTAAGAACAATACAACCATTTAACAACCCCCCCCACCCCGCCCCTCCCAAACAATCAGTGACCTCAACAACACAGCGCCTCGCATTAGCATAATAAACAAATTCTTGCAGACTAGCTGGCGAGTGACGTCAAGACATCAACATAGACGAGTATTGACTACTGTTCTTGCATCGGGACCCTCACCCCCCTCCCCCGCACATCAAATACATCACCATCAGTTTAATCACTAAGCCGGGGTAAGTCACCATCACAAAACAGGACAATTACATTAAACAGTTTACAAGCATGAAAACTTGCCAATCAACTGTTGTTATTGTTATAAACAGCCTCCTGGTGCTTCGGAGCTCATTAACTGTTTAATAATTGTAAACAAAGCCGCCAAAGATTGAGAAACGATGGACAGGGGTCAGATTCACGAAAGGACTTACCCAAAAACTTACGAACCTGTACATCTTTCCTCAATTTTTGGCGACTTTGTTTACAATTATTAAACAGTTAATGAGCTCCGAAGCACCAGGAGGCTGTTTATAACAATACCAACAGTTGATTGGCAAGTTTTCATGCTTGTAAACTGTTTAATAAATGTTACCAAAGCCGTCAAAGATTGAGGAAAGATGTACACGTTCGTAAGTATTTGCGTAAGTGCTTTCGTGAATCCGGCCCCAGATTCGTAAGTGCTTGCGTAACTGCTTCGTGAATCTGGCCCCAGGCCCAAATATTCGACAAAGTAATCAGCCACAGGCTCGATAAGAACAGAGAAAAGTATTCACCAGATGGGTTTAGAACCCACTGACGGGCCCCATACAGCTGAAGCCCTGATCTATGAACACTTAGCCATTATCATGCCGGACCCACCAGGCTGTGGTGGGTATGTGGGCCTGCGGGCCGCTCCAAGGAACAGCCTGTTGGATCAACCGGGCTGTGGTGGGTATGTGGGCCTGCGGGCCGCTCCCAGCAACAGCCTGGTGGACCAACCGGGCTGTGGTGGGTATGTGGGCCTGCGGGCCGCTCCAAGCAACAGCCTGGTGGACCAACCGGGCTGTGGTGGGTATGTGGGCATACGGGCCGCTCCAAGCAACAGCCTGGTGGACCAAACTCTCACAAGTCAAGCCTGGCCTCGGGCCGGGCTCGGGGAGTAGAAGAACTCCCAGAACCCCATCAACCAGGTATCAACCAGGCATGCCGGAAAATTGCAGGATAAAAGTGCAAGTGCAGGATACCAGGCGGACAGCCCGCCTGCTATCATAACATGGTGTCAGCAAGGGGTACAGCCCGCCTGCTATCATAACACGGTGACAGCAAGGCGGACAGCCCGCCTGCTATCATAACACGGTGTCAGCAAGGCGGGCAGCCCGCCTGCTATCATAACACGGTGACAGCAAGGCGGACAGCCCGCCTGCTATCATAACACGGTGTCAGCAAGGCGGGCAGCCCGCCTGCTATCATAACACGGTGTCAGCAAGGCGGACAGCCCGCCTGCTATCATAACACGGTGTCAGCAAGGCGGGCAGCCCGCCTGCTATCATAACACGGTGTCAGCAAGGCGGGCAGCCCGCCTGCTATCATAACATGGTGTCAGCAAGGCGGGCAGCCCGCCTGCTATCATAACACGGTGACAGCAAGGCGGACAGCCCGCCTGCTATCATAGCACGGTGTCAGCAAGGCGGACAGCCCGCCTGCTATCATAACACGGTGTCAGCAAGGCGGACAGCCCGCCTGCTATCATAACACGGTGTCAGCAAGGCGGACAGCCCGCCTGCTATCATAACATGGTGTCAGCAAGGCGGACAACCCGCCTGCTATCATAACACGGTGACAGCATGGCGGACAGCCCGCCTGCTATCATAACACGGTGTCAGCAAGGCGGACAGCCCGCCTGCTATCATAACACGGTGTCAGCAAGGCGGACAGCCCGCCTGCTATCATAACATGGTGTCAGCAAGGCGGACAACCCGCCTGCTATCATAACACGGTGACAGCAAGGCGGACAGCCCGCCTGCTATCATAACTCACACTATATTTCTACAACTTCTCCCTCACTGTATCTGTCATCCACTTTCACTCAACACGTCAACAAATGTTCAAGGGAGCGTTGGATAGAATGGGTAGGGGGGCGGTGGCCCCTTTTTTTTTTATAACCCCCCTAGACATCTTTCAGGTCCTTCCCACTCGCCATCCCTCTCTATCCCCCCCCCATTCCTCAGTCCCTTCTCCCTCCCCCCCCCCCCCGGGCGCCTATTCCTGCCCCCCCTACCCCCTAGGGGGGGGAGGACTGTCATCTGACTAATAAAGACTATTGATGTGTGAAATTGCCTGTCCTAGTCGGCAGACGTTGAGAGTGTGGTCGGCGTTCGAGGCCCTGGTGCTGCTCCTCCTCCCCCCCCCCCCCCTACGGCTCTCTGGGGTCACTATTTGTGTCGGCAGAATTTGCGCTCTTAGCTCTTGGACCCCCGCCTTTCTAACCAGTCTATTTTTTTATGTGTTATGTCTACTGGATATATATTTTTACCGTGGCAGCTGTCTAACTCCCATGTACCTATTTACTGCTAAGTGAACAGCGGCATTCGGCGAAAGCAATTCGGCTCATTGTCTTCAACCCGGGAATCGAACCCGGGCTCTTGAGCTATGAATCCCGAGCACTGTCCGCTCGGCCGCTGGGACCCCTCCCCCACCTCTCCGGAAATGTACAATGTGTCTGTGTGTGTGTATGAGGAGGGGGAGAGGGGGGGGGCACTCACTCACAGTGTTTATGAGTGAAGGTGAGTGATGCCGGCTCACGGGGGCTCAGCCTCATGAATATTCAGTGGGTAAGGTGAGTCGTCCTGACGGTCTAGAGTGAGGTAGGGCCTTGGGGAGGGGTAGGGGAGGGGTAGGGGAGGGAGGGGGAGAGAGAGACAGAGAGGGAGGTAGGGTTGATCAGTCCAGCAACCAGGAGGCCTGGTCGACGACCGGGCCGCGGGGACACTAAGCCCCGGAAGCACCTCAAGGTAGCCTCAAGGTAGGGAGAGATCAGAGAGATAGATGTTGCTAGTGTTGTGGTATCTGGTGGCGTCTGTCATCTCCCGCCACGTGTACTTGTATGGCAAGAACTTTCCGGTCTTGTCTACCCCGTGTTGTCATTCTGGGCCCGGCCATGCTGGGGGACGCATGCTCCACCACACCTCCTCCTCCTACAGTCTCTCTTAGTCATGTGTTTAGTGGTTAAGGTTTGCCTTGACGCGGTTCAGAGGGTCATTGTCCCCGCGGCCCGGTCTCTAACCAGGCCTCTGCTTGGTGTTCTGATCAACCAGGCTGTTAGTCGCCGCTGCTGCACGCAGTCTGATGGTTAGATATCACAGCTTGGCCAATTAAGATCATCATTCACACTGGTGATTCGCAAACGGCCTAACAGGCAAGTTGTAGTTTGGCAGGTGTTTCTTTTGTTTTGACAGGTGTTTCTTTTGTTTTGACAGGTGTTTCTTTTGTTTTGACAGGTGTTTCTTTTGTTTTGACAGGTGTTTCTTTTGTTTTGACAGGTGTTTCTTTTGTTTTGACAGGTGTTTCTTTTGTTTTGACAGGTGTTTCTTTTGTTTTGACAGGTGTTTCTTTTGTTTTGACAGGTGTTTCTTTTGTTTTGACAGGTGTTTCTTTTGTTTTGACAGGTGTTTCTTTTGTTTTGACAGGTGTTTCTTTTGTTTTGACAGGTGTTTCTTTTGTTTTGACAGGTGTTTCTTTTATTTTGACAGGTGTTTCTTTTATTTTGACAGGTGTTTCTTTTATTTTGACAGGTGTTTCTTTTATTTTGACAGGTGTTTCTTTTGTTTTGACAGGTGTTTCTTTTGTTTTGACAGGTGTTTCTTTTGTTTTGACAGGTGTTTCTTTTATTTTGACAGGTGTTTCTTTTATTTTGACAGGTGTTTCTTTTGTTTTGACAGGTGTTTCTTTTATTTTGACAGGTGTTTCTTTTATTTTGACAGGTGTTTCTTTTATTTTGACAGGTGTTTCTTTTATTTTGACAGGTGTTTCTTTTATTTTGACAGGTGTTTGACGTGTGTTTAGAGTAACGGTAAACGGTGATATTAGCGTAGTGTGACCTGGTGATATATTGTACTAAGGACGAGTAAAGTCTGGATGTAGTGTCTTACTGTACAGTTATGCCTAACGCCAATTCTCTCGTTTTCTTTAACCTGCAGGATGCAAGCCACAACAATTGGATCACTCTAGGGGGGTAACCTTAGTCGAGGGTGATCAGAGGCAGGACAGGTGCCCTCAGCGCCTCGCCCTGCACAGTGTGTTTGGAGTCGTGTGATAGGCCTAAAGTTGGATCTGTATGTGTGTGTGTGTGTGATTTTATTCATTGAAGGAATGAATGTGAATGAAGACTTCCTTCCCCCCTGCCTCTGTAATGGACTGACCCGAGCTTTGGTACTTCCCTCCCCCCTGCCTCTGTAATGGACTGACCCGAGCCTTGGTACTTCCCTCCCCCCTGCCTCTGTAATGGACTGACCCGAGCTTTGGTACTTCCTTCCCCCCTGCCTCTATAATGGACTGACCCGAGCCTTGGTACTTCCCTCCCCCCTGCCTCTATAATGGACTGACCCGAGCCTTGGCACTTCCCTCCCCCCCTGCCTCTGTAATGGACTGACCCGAGCTTTGGTACTTCCCTCCCCCCTGCCTCTGTAATGGACTGACCCGAGCTTTGGTACTTCCCTCCCCCCTGCCTCTGTAATGGACTGACCCGAGCCTTGGTACTTCCCTCCCCCTGCCTCTGTAATGGACTAACCCGAGCCTTGGTACTTCCCTCCCCCCTGCCTCTGTAATGGACTGACCCGAGCCTTGGCACTTCCCTCCCCCCTGCCTCTGTAATGGACTAACCCGAGCCTTGGTACTTCCCTCCCCCCTGCCTCTGTAATGGACTGACCCGAGCTTTGGTACTTCCCTCCCCCCTGCCTCTATAATGGACTGACCCGAGCAGTGGCACTTCCCTCCCCCCTGCCTCTGTAATGGACTGTCCCGAGCCTTGGCACTTCCCTCCCCCCCTGCCTCTGTAATGGACTGACCCGAGCTTTGGTACTTCCCTCCCCCCTGCCTCTGTAATGGACTGACCCGAGCCTTGGTACTTCCCTCCCCCCTGCCTCTGTAATGGACTGACCCGAGCCTTGGTACTTCCCTCCCCCCTGCCTCTGTAATGGACTGACCCGAGCCTTGGTACTTCCCTCCCCCCTGCCTCTGTAATGGACTGACCCGAGCCGTGGCACTTCCCTCCCCCCTGCCTCTGTAATGGACTGACCCGAGCCGTGGCACTTCCCTCCTGTGAACCAGATAATGGGGGCCGGTGTGAACCAGATAATGGGGGCCGGTGTGAACCTGATAATGGGGGCCGGTGTGAACCTGATAATGGGGGCCGGTGTGAACCAGATAATGGGGGCCGGTGTGAACCTGATAATGGGGGCCGGTGTGAACCAGATAATGGGGGCCGGTGTGAACCAGATAATGGGGGCCGGTGTGAACCAGATAATGGGGGCCGGTGTGAACCTGATAATGGGGGCCGGTGTGAACCAGATAATGGGGGCCGGTGTGAACCAGATAATGGGGGCCGGTGTGAACCAGATAATGGGGGCCGGTGTGAACCAGATAATGGGGGCCGGTGTGAACCAGATAATGGGGGCCGGTGTGAACCAGATAATGGGGGCCGGTGTGAACCAGATAATGGGGGCCGGTGTGAACCAGATAATGGGGACCGGTGTGAACCTGATAATGGGGGCCGGTGTAAGCCTGATAATGGGGGCCGGTGTGAACCAGATAATGGGGGCCGGTGTGTGAACCAGATAATGGGGGCCGGTGTGAACCAGATAAACCAGATGGGGGCCGGTGTGAACCAGATAATGGGGGCCGGTGTGAACCAGATAATGGGGGCCGGTGTGAACCAGATAATGGGGGCCGGTGTGAACCAGATAATGGGGGTGAACCGGTGTGAACCAGATAATGGGGCCGGTGTGAACCAGATAATGGGGGCCGGTGTGAACCAGATAATGGGGGCCGGTGTGAACCAGATAATGGGGGCCGGTGTGAACCAGATAATGGGGGCCGGTGTGAACCAGATAATGGGGGCCGGTGTGAACCCAGATAATGGGGGCCGGTGTGAACCAGATAATGGGGGCCGGTGTGAACCAGATAATGGGGGCCGGTGTGAACCAGATAATGGGGGCCGGTGTGAACCAGATAATGGGGGCCGGTGTGAACCAGATAATGGGGGCCGGTGTGAACCAGATAATGGGGGCCGGTGTGAACCAGATAATGGGGCCGGTGTGAACCAGATAATGGGGCCGGTGTGAACCAGATAATGGGGGCCGGTGTGAACCAGATAATGGGGGCCGGTGTGAACCAGATAATGGGGGCCGGTGTGAACCAGATAATGGGGGCCGGTGTGAACCAGATAATGGGGGCCGGTGTGAACCAGATAATGGGGGCCGGTGTGAACCAGATAATGGGGGCCGGTGTGAACCAGATAATGGGGGCCGGTGTGAACCAGATAATGGGGGCCGGTGTGAACCAGATAATGGGGGCCGGTGTGAACCAGATAATGGGGGCCGGTGTGAACCAGATAATGGGGGCCGGTGTGAACCAGATAATGGGGGCCGGTGTGAACCAGATAATGGGGGCCGGTGTGAACCAGATAATGGGGGCCGGTGTGAACCAGATAATGGGGGCCGGTGTGAACCAGATAATGGGGCCGGTGTGAACCAGATAATGGGGGCCGGTGTGAACCAGATAATGGGGGCCGGTGTGAACCAGATAATGGGGGCCGGTGTGAACCAGATAATGGGGGCCGGTGTGAACCAGATAATGGGGGCCGGTGTGAACCAGATAATGGGGGCCGGTGTGAACCAGATAATGGGGGCCGGTGTGAACCAGATAATGGGGGCCGGTGTGAACCAGATAATGGGGCCGGTGTGAACCAGATAATGGGGGCCGGTGTGAACCAGATAATGGGGGCCGGTGTGAACCAGATAATGGGGGCCGGTGTGAACCAGATAATGGGGGCCGGTGTGAACCTGATAATGGGGGCCGGTGTGAACCTGATAATGGGGGCCGGTGTGAACCTGATAATGGGGGCCGGTGTGAACCAGATAATGGGGGCCGGTGTGAACCTGATAATGGGGGCCGGTGTGAACCAGATAATGGGGGCCGGTGTGAACCAGATAATGGGGGCCGGTGTGAACCAGATAATGGGGGCCGGTGTGAACCAGATAATGGGGCCTGGCCTGGTGTGGCTTGGCCTGAGCATTAG